TATGAAATATGATATGTCAAGAGCTTTGTAATGTTGTGAACAACCAATTAAAAAAAAATTCTCTTATGTGAAACTCAGATGCCCTAGCAGTTTTTGGAGGTTCAGCCCTGTTCAGTCAACTTCTGCCCCAGTTTACTCCTCTAGTGCCAGTCTCAGGCCCATTTCCCAGGCCTGCACTGGGCAGTGTGTTCGTGTGCTCACTGGCATGTGGCACTGTCAGCTGGCACTTCCTGCTTACTTAGGAAAAATCCTTCCCAGTGTTGAGTCAGAGCGCTGCCCAGCCAGGGCATCAGAAAACACAAGGGACATAGCCTAGATACCTTTTTACAGACCAAAGACAGGAAAGGAGGCCTCAGACCCATTGTCTAACCTGCAATTTGAATAAGACCAGACATCAGATAAAATAGGGAAACTAAAAAACTCTTCGGTGGTAGAATCCTATTTTGGTGTCAAATGTGTGATAGAATGAGTGTTATGATTTCAGATGAGAGTGATAAATTGTGCCAGATCACCTGGGCAGCCAGATCTGATCAACCTAAAAAAAAAAAAAAAGACAAAGATTTTTATCTGTTAGTCATTATTGTATCCCGAGTGCCTAGAATAGCACCTGACACATAGTGGGCATAGTTTTGTGGGAAAAACTTTGGGCCTTAAGTTTACTAGTAAGTCACAGTGGAAATGTAGTTTTGGTTTTTCCATATTTAAGGATTAACAATGACAAATGAGATGTAAGCAAATAACCAATATGATGTGGAAAACCTAAAAATAATGTTTGGAATAAAACTACACGCCCTCTCTCCATTACCCTTTCCCCCTAGTATGCATACATACCAGGTTCTTCAGAATTTTCATAAAGAAAATATTGAACACAGACTTTCCCCATTCTTGAAGGAAATGTTTAAAGTTCCTGTTGAATACACAAGCAAGCTGGTTAATTAGGTTAATTAATTGGAGAGGGAAGATGGGAAATGCTCCTGGGAGCTTTACTTTCTGCCTGTGTACCACACACACGCACATGTGCACACACTCTGGCTTCTCAGTTATTCCTTCTTACAGACATCAGAGCCTTGTCTGAAAGACTCTGGCTTTAGACACCAACTTTAGATTTGGTTGTGTTATTCTGGTCCCAGAAGGGTGGAAGGTGGTAGTGAGCATACTTGTTACTAAAGCAGAAGGTGTTGGAAATCTGTCAGGTCACACAGTCTGCAGCTCCAAGAAGCCCCTGATCAGACTTGCCCTTGGGCTGGGAAACTGGCAGAGGCATGACCAGCATGTCCCATTCCTTCCTCATCTCTAGAGAGCAGATGCTTCCCTCCCCCCAGCTTTAATCAGAAGTCGTTGATTACACTGCAGAGTAGGGCAGACCTTGAATGGTGATATGAAAATCAAGGCAATCAATCAGCATTAACAGTAATGGTGCAAGCTGGTCTTATAGCCCTGTGAGCCCACTTGACGTTATTTTAAATGCCTTTCTAAAAAATCTTTCTTACAGAAAGGAAGAGGTTTTATCAGAATGTCAGCATCACACAGGGTGAAGGTGAGTGTCTAAAATTTTGACGGCCTCCTTTTTTTTTTTTTTTTTTTTGTGAATGGTTGGAAACATTTTTCATCTCCAGCTGGTTCAGTGGCGAGATTATCCTTCGCACTTTTGTCAGATACGTTTCTGTAAGGGACTCAGAGTTGTCTTTGTCTGCATCAATTCAAGTGGCTAAATATAGGAATGGTCACCCGATTCCACTTCACAATCCCTGAGAGTGTTTTATTTGATCTTTCAAGGTGGCTTTGAGATAAATCTGGACCACAGGAAGCTGAAAACTCCCCAAGCCAAGCTCTTTACGGTCCCCAATGAGGCCTTGGCTATCGCAGTGGCCACCGAATGGGACTCCCAGCAGGATACCATCAAGTTCTACACCATGCACCTGGTAACAAGTTCACAGCACCAGCTTACACCCTGACACCTGTGAGGGGCTTCCAGACTACCTGGCAAAATTTAGACCCCTTTTCAAATTGTGACATGTCCCTGGGGATAGGCCTCCGTGGGCCTGGGCTGTCACCACAATCACCTTCTCTCAGTCATTGAATAGGCCAACCTCTTTCTCTATCTGGCTTGGGCAACTGCGGTTCCCTCTGTTTGGAACAGCATGCTAGGTGGCCTGTTCCTCCTCTGTTCAGGACAGATGTCACCTTTGCTGACTGTCCAGCTCTCTTATTTTTGATTCTAGCAGCTGGCCATTTATTACAGCAGCTGGCCATTTGTTTCATCAGCACTTAGTGTGTAATGATCTGCTTTATGTTTGCATGTTTATTGTCTCTCTCTTCTGCTGCACGTCTGCAGGGGCCATGTCTCTTTTATTCACGAGCTCCAACAGGAAGTTTAGATGGTACCAAAAAATATTGGTTGGGTGCAGGAATCACCAAGGCAGGTAGGTAAGACGAGGAAGACTCTGTGTAGAGATGGATCACTGAGGCACAAGGGTGGCAGAGGAGGGAACAGGGTCTGCCAGACTCATTAGGTTCAGCCTCTGTAGCCCCCACATTGTGACCTTGGGCACCATGTCCCGCATCTGTAAAAGATGAGTGATAAAAGAACCCACCCCAGAATTGTGGGCTGGATTGTGATGAGATAACACATAGAAAACACTTAGCATGGTCCCTGAAGTAGGGCAGGCACTCAGTCAATATGAGTTAGTTGTTCTCATCGTGGTCATTGTTTGCTTGACATACAAACCCAGGGGGCTTCCCCACAACATCACAGCCCTCTGAGTTAGCACCTGCTCTCTGGCTGTCTGATGAAATGAGGGTGTTAGGGCTACAAACAAATAGTTTGAGAAACTTAAGAAACCTATTGTTGGGGCTGGGGATGTGGTTCAAGCGGTAGTGCCTGGCATGCGTGCGGCCTGGGTTCGATCCTCAGCACCACATACAAACAAAGATGTTGTGTCTGCCAAAAACTAAAAAATAAATATTAAAATTCTCAAAAAAAATTAAAAAAAAAAGAAACCTATTGTTGGTAAGGCAAACCTGGCATAATAATCTTGATCCCCGTTTGGATAATTTTTTTTTCTTTCTAAGGTGTTATGGGAGCCATCTGGTAAAGGCTTTGAGTTTCCTGATTGTTTACATGTCTTATTTATTTTGTATCTGAGGATGTATTTCACCTCTCTTTGCCTCAGTTTTCACATCTTTAAACTGGGTATAATAGTACCTGCTCCAAATTGTTATTGTGAGGATGAAGTTAAACATAGCAGAGCCTGGCAATAAAGAGCAGGAGACCTGGGAGACATTCCCTAATCCAGGGCTATGAGAGTCCCATGAGTCCCTTTGAGCACACACATAGCTTTAAGCATGGGTCCTGGCTCCTGGATGCTCTCTGTGAATATGCTGCTGCCAGGCCTCTGAAAACACTTGGGGTTGAGAACACTTTGGTTCTCACTCTGCTGCATCAGATGGAGTGTCCTCAGGAGAGCAGAGCTTTTGTCTGGGACTGGCAGGTGGTGATGGGGCACTTTCTGCTTTTGATTCAGACCACATTGTGCAACACATCCTTGGACAACCCAACCCAACGCAACAAGGATCAGCTGATCCAGGCAGCTGTGAAGTTTCTGGACACTGACACCCTCTGGTAATTGACATTTAGATGAGCAGTCCCCTTGGGCCATGCAAGTCCCCTGGGCTATTTTGACTTATTTGCCCAGAGAGTTCTTGGTAGAAGAGGCAGGCCCTTTCCTGTATCCTCACAAGGTGGACAGTTTCCTGTTCCAGCTTATTTGACTGGCCCCCAGCTGTTCTGCAGATCCTTAGGAGGAAGACTTCTCAGGCTACTAGAACATGGAGTGTTCCTTGGGTTGGGGTCAGCAGGGAGGAGGTGCATGTAACTCTTATAGGTTCCAGCACCATAGCTCGCTTGCCAGCCCCCACCAGGGTCTCTGACCCTGACTTGTGCCCACTAGCACATTCTTGGGTTGGCTTCCCTACCATTACAGATGGTGATAGTCAGGATCTAAACTCCTCTAGTTCTCAATTCTCCATTTGTGTCTATGTTCTTTGGCTAATTGTGCAGGAAGCAGAACACATTCAACTTAGCTCAGGGAAAAAAAGCATTTCTTGCCAGGTGTGGTGGCACACACCTGTAATCCCAATGACTTGGGAGGCTGAGGCAGGCGGATCACTTAATTTGAGGCCAGCCTCAACAACTTAGCAAGACCCTGTCTCAAAATTAAAAATAAAAAGGGATAGATATGGCCGGCATGGTGGTGCATGCCTGTAATCCTAGAGGCTTGAGAGGCTGAGGCAGGAGAATTACAAGTTTAAAGCCAGCCTCAGCAACTTAGTGAGGCCCTAAGTAACTCATGAGACCTTGCCTCTAAATAAAACACAAAAAGGGCTGGGGATGTGGCTCAGTGGTCAGTGCCTCTGGATTCACTCTGCAGTACCAAAAAAAAAAGTGTTTGTGGGGTGCTAGGGATGTAATCTTCAGACTTCCCAAAAAGGGATGTTCTTGAAAACTATACAGGAGTCCTGACAGTAATGAAGGAATATCAAACCATCAGGGAAACAGCTTGAGGATCCTAGAAGCCAGAGCTCCTACCATCTCCTCCCTGCTGGTTGTGGGTTGGGTAGAGGCAGGAAAGTCCCTCCACTCATCTGCACCTCCTAGCAAGCAGCCCCCCTCCTCCACACACTCATGACCTCTTTGCTTCCCTCTGCTTACATGAGAATGTGACTTTCCATAGTGCCACCTGGGGTTCCTGTCCCATGAGGCTTTGCAGCTCAGCTCCCCTCAACTGACTCATCTCTGTATCTCTTGGTTTAAACAAGTGGCACAGCCTGGCTTCTAGGTTGGTTTTCTCTGGTCAAGCCTCCATGCCAAGAGGTGGGTGGGCTCCTGTGGTCCTGTGGCCAAGAGCACAGTGTCTTGGAAGTCGGAAGGCAGGGATGCTATTATTGAGTTGCTGGCATAGTGTTCATATCCAGTGGCTCTGGATCCCAGGTTGCAATTATTAGGTTGCATCTGTTTTCCATTAACACTAATGTGGTACTGCAAACTTGGACCTGTCAAAATATTGGGGAGTATTTAAGACGGTGGTTCACAAACTCAAACTTAAATTAGGATGCCCTAGAAGGTTTTTTAAAATGTTGGGCCCCACCCCAAAGGTCTGATTTCAGTAGATATGGGAAGTGGCCTGAGAATGTGCTTTGCTTACAAATACCCAGGGAAGGCCGATGCTGCTGGCCCTAGGGCCACATATGGAGAACTATGGCTTTAGGGGACAAGACTTGGGGCACTGGATTGGTGGTGGAAATGGTTTTGCTGTTGCCCTGTGTTCTTCCTTTTCTATCACTGAATGTTGGAATTGTACTTTTTTATTAAGTGATTTTTTACAATGAATTAGCTACAGAGTGGAAGAGCCAGAGACATTAGTGGAACTTCAAAAGAATGAGTGGGATCCAATCATAGAATGGGCCGAGAAAAGGTAAGATGCACAGCCCCACAGAGAACATTGAGTGGGCCTGGTTTGGGCAGCATGCTGGCAGATGTCACATGTACCCAGTGCCCTTAGCTAGCCAGCTTTCTGAGTTCAGAGTGCCTTAGAAGTCAGCTCCCATTAGATGTCTGGGGATAGGGTCCCCTTGGAAAAATATGTTCCTCAAATTCATGTCAGTCACCATGCACTGAGCACCTATTACAGAGCATATTGTATCTCATAGGGGCAACTCTGGGTCCTTAGGAGGTACCAGAGACCCCAGGCCCCCTTCCTTCACATGTCAGACCAGCAGTGTTGGTTTGAATCCCAGCTCTGCCACTGTTAGCCATTTGACTTTGGACTAGTGAGTTGATCTCTCTGATCTTCAATTTCCTTGTTTGTAAATGGGGCCAATCTTTCCTACCTCAAGGAAGAGTCAGTGATAAAGGTAGTGCTTAGCATCCTGCAGGGCACACAGTAAATGCAATTACTATACATTTATGTATATATACTATACTAAACAGTTTGTAAGATTATGTATACACATGGAGAAAAATCAGGGTAGTTTTCTACAAAATTATAGGTAACATCCTATGGATTTGGAATTGATGATACCCAATATTTTTCCTTGACAGGAAGACTCTTTTGAGTGCAAAATTGAATAGATATTGATGTGGTGGCAAAATAAATTCCATTTCATTTCAAGAGAAATGTGGAAGGGCTGGTGTCCATGGCACAGCCTTATCCATAGTATCTTGTATTTTTTTGATGAGGTTCGGCAGTCTGTCCCATTCCACCAGTCTGTCACATTCATCTGCTACATGTTTCCTGTGTGCTCACAATAAGTTTTAAAGGGAAAGGCAGAACTAGAATTCTATAGGAGCAGATAAAATGTAACGGTTATGTTAAAAGAAATGTGACAATACAGTGCCATTTTAGAATAACACTAATTGAGGTGCCTGGAGATCTTTGCAGTAGTACAGAATCATCAAGTGTTTGTGACAATTGAGATATCCAATCTTTAATAGTTCCCAGAAAAATCTAGCCTTTTTCCTACATTCAGTCTGTATTATTAGAAATTTTGTAGGGATATTTTTTTAAACAATAGAAAAAAATCCAGTGATATATGAAAGAATTACAAAAATTATTTTTACTCCATTATGTATGTTTTTCCTCCATTTATGGTGTGTATGTGTGTGTGTGTGTGTGTGTGTGTGTGTTTGCTGGACCCCAGAGCCTCATGCATGCTGGGTGCTGCCTCTACTATTGAACACACCCTAGCCTGTTGTTGATTATTCCTGAACATGCCTCTTCTCATGACTCCGAAATCACAGATGAAAACCAAAGCCTTGAATACTGTAGAGTCTTAATAAATGGAAAAAATAATTGAGTGATACAGGACATATACAAACATTATTTTAAGGAAAATGCTATTTAAAAGAAATCTTTTATGGCCTCAAATGTGCAAAAGTTTTTTTTTTAAAGATTTAAAGAACAGGTTACCTACACATTTGATGAAGATTCCAGGCAATTGAGTTAGTGTTTCAGGCCCCTGCACCCAACTGAGCTCCTGTTCACAGGAATCAGCAATGCACCTTCATTTAGGGTAGTTTCTTGCTTGCTTTTCTTTGCTTTTGAGGGTTAGAAAATTAGGCCAGGAGGCCACATAGGGGAAGTTGCTTCCAGAGTCCTTAAGACTAGCCCCTTGACCACATGCCCTGAAGGGGTATATACATACTCAGTAGTTTGCTTCCAGTGAAAAACTGGGCTGCTTTTGGGACACAGCATGCCAGGGACATGTTGCAGCCTTTTCCTTTCAGATATGGTGTGAAGATTGGCTCCTCCACCAGCATAATGGGACCTAGCATCCCTGCACAGACTCGGGAGGTGCTCACCAGCCACCTGGCATCTTACAACATGTGGGCCTTACAAGGTATGCACTGAGGTTCTGTGGGCCTGAGGGCAGGTGTGATACAAGTGATGCCACCCTGTTAGCTCAGCTCCAGGCTCACACCCTTCCAGCAGAAAGTAGGGTTTCTATTTTCCAACAGAAGCCTCAAGTTCTCATCTCCTTGGCCCGACCATCTGTGAAACAAGTCATTGGGTAGGAGTTTGGGGGAATATACTGACTAGCAAGGATCAGGTCATGTTCCCACCCAGGGATGAGCAGAGGTGGGTCAACCTCGAGGAAGGCCAGAAGAATGGGCTAAACCCCAGGTGGGCCCTGGGTCGATCTCCCACTCCTGGCACCTTTGCCCCGTTTACTCCTGTTCTTATAAGAGGTGCAGGGACTCATGAAGAATTAGGCTAAAGCAACTGCCCTGTTTTGTATCTTGATGTGGTTTGTGTCCCTGCAGGGATTGAGTTTGTAGTGGCCCAACTCAAGTCCATGGTACTGACCTTGGGTCTGATTGACCTACACCTGACTGTGGAGCAGGCTGTGCTGCTGTCACGCCTAGAGGAGGAATACCAGGTGAGGTGCCACATCTTGGGTCCCCATCTCACCCCTTCCTATTACACACTAACCTATGTGGGGTGTGGCCAACCTATCTGAATTTTTTTTTTCTATAGTAGAGGGGATTGAATCCACGGGTGCTTTCCTGCTGAGCTACATTCCCAACCTGCTTCTTCCTCTTCTTTTTTTTTTTTTTTTTGAGATAAGGTCTCGCTAAGTTTCCCAGACTGGCCTTAAACTGCAATCCTCTTGCCTCAGCCTCCTGAGTAGCTGGCATTACAGGCATCTGAAATATTTTTATGTAAACCTGGGCTTTATTATTTTTATGTACATACAGAAATCAAAACTAAGGACCAATAAAAGTATTATTGGGGCTGGGTTTATGGCTCAGTGGTAGAGCACTTGCTTACCATGCTCAAGGCCCTGGGTTCTATCCCCTACACCACAAGGAAAAAATTTGAAAAATGCTCAGCATTCCCCTCACATTCCCTTCTCATTAGTCTGATTAGGTGAAGGCTGTGCTTGGCTGTGCTTTTCTCATTCTACATATGGGGAAACTGAGGCACTAGGTCATACCTCTGGCAAATATTCTAGTTGGGATTTGAACCCAGGACTGAGTGACTATAGGACCAAGGCCTCAGCTCTCACTCTGTGCCTGAGAGTTCATAGGCCTCATATGCCCTGCAGAGCAGGCCCTGTGGAAATGACTGAGGACCTGCTTGCGCTCTTAAGTCAGTGAAGCAATTACACCTTGACATTTCATCTGACCAACAAAGGAGCATGGGGGTGGGTAGCCACTGTTTGTACACAAGTTTTCATTTAATGGGCTCAGAATTAAGGTTTTGCTGTACTGTTGTATGCATTTTTTAACTGAAAATTATGTGTCCTTGTAGTCGTTTTGTTCCTGATGACGTTATTCCTCAAACCTCAGGTTAATTGCTATTATGAGTTGGTTCCTAGTGTGTGATAAAAACCTTTTTTGGAATGTTTAGTCTTCTGCTCGGATAAATGCCAGAGACAAAGCCATTTCTGTTTAGCAGAAAAGCCTACCCATTCTCTAGCTGTCAGAACCAATTTCATGGGAAAGGGGTGACCTGTAAGGGTTGTGGGGTTGCTGGGGAGCCAAAAACCTGGGTTCCTGTCTGGGCTCTGCTTTTGACCATGGGACCCATGCCAGCCTATCATCCTGAATTTTGCAATCCTGCATAACTAGGATTATGGATTTGATGGTATAAATTGAAGGTAAAAATCCCCTTCATCTACTATATTATAATTGTGCAAATTGCGATTGGATAGCCAGAAATGCAGATATCTTGCGTTGAGTGGCAGATTCTGCCGGGAAGGAGCCAGCAGGCTCAGATTGGAGTCACATTGATGTCTGGACAGCCCCAGTGTGCCCAGAGTTTCCTCCCTCTTTTCAGAGTCCTGGAGAACATGTACAGAGCAGAGACCTCTGCGGTATAGTAACTCCCCAGGAGTCAGAACTGAGGCCTCATGTGGCCTTGCTTGATTTATTTATGCCACCCACATGGAGAGGATACTTGCAGCCCTGCATGGCAACACAGCTCATAGGAGATGACAGTTTGAGTGCTTGCGTAGCATGCATGAGGCCTTGGGCCTGGGTTTAATCTCCAGCATCCCAGACCAAAAGAAGTAGGGGGGGGTTGCAGGATGACAGTTGGCAGGCCACCTCACATAAACCTCCTAGTAGGAAGTGTGGGCTAAGGGATAGCACACAGGTCAGGCTGCCTCTGTGGGACTTGTGTGGTCTGGTTTAGCCATTGGCCCTAGGACTGGATATACTACTCCCAGACCACCCACACCCCAGAGAGAACAGGGCCTTCCCTGGCCACCTGGGTGTTCTTTTTTCTCCATACTGGGGACTAAACTGAGGAGCACTCTGCCACTGAGCTATCTCCCCACCCCTTTATTCATTTTATTTTGCAATAGAGTCTCACTCTATGTCGCCCACAATAGCCTTGATCTTGTGATCTTCCTGCCTAAGCCTCCAGAGTAGTTGGGATACAGGTGTGCACCACCACACCTGGCTTACCGGGTGTTACTCCATGCATCCACTTGTTTTGGTAAGATCAGAGCCTGCTGCCTTCAGCCCAGAGATGGGATTGAAATGTGGCTCAGGTCAGCAGGCTACAGGTCTAGCCATTTACCCAGCGCTTGTCTTGTCCTCCTCTCAGATCCAGAAATGGGGCAATGTTGAGTGGGCCCATGATTACGAGCTGCAGGAACTGAGGGCCCGTACTGCTGCTGGCACCCTCTTCGTCCACCTCTGCTCCGAGAGCTCCACGGTCAAGCACAAGCTCCTGCAGGAGTGAGGCCTGGACTACTGGAGGGAGCCTGCCGTGTTCACATTTCCCCCATCCTGGGACATCTCGGACCACACCTGCAGGCTCCCCTCACCTTTGGGGCTTAACCTTGCTCAGCACCACCCTGAGATGTCCCCGAGACACACAGTGATTGTCTGAAGGTCAGCCTGATTGCAACCTGGGGGCCCCTGACCTGGCCAGGCGTGAGTGAGGGGGATGAATTGTACAAATGACTTTCTCTTGATCCTGATTTTATTAAAAAATTTCTTCACCCATTTTCATCTGTGTCTCTACATTTCTCCATTCTTGTTTTGTCACCAAGATTGAACAGCTTATCTTCCATGGCACATTTTAATATCTGCTGCCCATGGTCAGGAGCCTCATGCAGGGGAAACAATCATGTCACCAACAGACAACTCTATTTGTGTCTTCAGTCCTCAGCCTAAAGGCTTTTTTCCCCCTCATTTTCATCAAACAGTCTTTTGAAAGTGAGTTCTTCTTGGTCTAAACTGGTTGTTTCCATTTTTTTCCTACTGTTCTAGAGGAAAAAAAAGATTTACTCTTGAAAATAGAAAGTATGTGGTTTCTGGGTTAAAAGTCGGATGGTTCTGGCAAGGCCACCTGATGTACACTGCTTTTAGTCTGGCTCTAGAATGTCCCCCAAAGGCCCGTGCATTCCAGACTTGTTCCCCAGAGTGGCACTGTTGGGAGGTGGAACCTTAAGAGATGGGGACTAGAGAGAGGTGTTTAGGTCATCGAGGATGTGCCCTTGAGAGGGGTGTGGGACTCCAGCCCCTTCCTCTTCCTCTCTTGCTTTCTGGCCAGAAGTGAGCAGTTTTGTTCTACCTTGCACTCCTGCCGTGATGTGCTGCCTCACCACAGGCTCCAAATCAATAAGGCCAAACAACCATGGACTGGACCCTCTGAAAATGTGAGCCAAAATAAACCTTTCCTGTTTATAAATGGTTTATCTCAGCTATTTGTTATAGTGACAGAGAGCTGACTATGCACATTTCTGCTCATCTTCCACATGGTAGTCCTGAGTGTCCCCCAACACAGCCACTTCCATGGTCCTAGCAAGCCATGGAGTGGTAGCAGGTACCATTTCCTGGTACCATGTTCAGTGGAAGAGCAGTAGGGAGAGTGTGGGCCTCACAGCAGAGTCTGAGCTCCATGTCTTCACATGTTTATATAATAAAATGTCATTACCCCTGGTCACAGGGCATTGACCCCATGCTCATGCCTCTCTATTTCACACACACACACTCTGAACTCCTCAACGATACTCCAAGGAGGTACTGTCACAGATGAAGGTCAGGCAGCAAAGGTGACATCATAGGGCTAGGATGGCCAGCCTGCACCCTTAACTCCTGGAGGATCATTGGGTCCCTATAGCCAAGCACTGGGCCATAGGGAGCCGTGTCCTTTGCCTTGGAGGGCTGGCTCAGCCTCCAGCATTGTGGTGGGAGCCTTGGCCTCCCTTGCTTCCCTGGTCCTCAGCACCCAAAGAGGGGAGGGCTATGTGCACATCTGCAGCCTGTTCTGGGTACAGCACTCAACAGACATCTGCTATTCTGTCACAAGCATACCTCCAGCTAACCACTGGCCATCTTGGGACCCACTCTTACAGACTGGCCAGGAACTGCTATTCCTCCTCATCTTTTTTCTTGTTCATATATAGATGTGGATATTCTCTCTCTCTCTCTCTCTCTAAGAATAGGAGAAAGGTGACATAAATCCTTTATTTTTCTCTGTATTTGGAACTTTTTCCACGGGTGGGGAGGAATAGTGTCAAGAAGAGACTTGGGTTAGGAATTCCCAGTAACTCTCCCCAGACGGCTGGTGAATTGAGCCCGCTCCTCAGGTAGGGCTGTCGCGTGTTTTGAAGAGGACCCCTGGCATCTAATCTACGATATCGACGCATTCCAGGTTGTCCAGCTCGTTCTGCATGTGGTCAATGTATTGATTGATTTCTTTCACTCGCCTGCGGTTCCTCATGATCTCATCCTTGTGAATCTGGGGATAGAAACCAAAGCCCAGCGCCTTCAATCAGATAATTGGTTAATATCTTTTACTGAAGCGAGTTTGAGGGAAAGGAAAATTGTTCTTTGAAATCTCCATAGTTTCCATGCCTCATTTACTTCAGAGCCTCCTTGTGTTCAGCTGATCTCTCTATATTCCATGTAGGAGTTAGAGAAATGATGAAGCACATGGGTTTGAAAGTCTCTGACCGAGCAACCCTAAGTTTTCACTGTGGAAATCTATAATCCTTAACTATTTCTTTGTCCATTTTGTTCCTCATAGAAAACAGTAAGATCCCCATTCTTTCTGGCTGGTAGCTAGAAAAGTTGGCCCTGCTTGCTAGGATGGGTTGGCATTTACTCACTTTGTCTACTAAGTGTGTACACCAAGAGTTGACCCTGGTCACCAGCTCATCTTCTCGATTGTCAATCTTCAGGAGGTGGATGTCATGCGATGCCCCAACAGCATTAACAACTGTGTCTTTGTCGATAAAAAGCTGGTGAGTGAGAAGGCCCAAATGAAACTGCATGTCATTATGTCCTAAATACAAAATGAGGGGGCTGAATAGAAAAGGGACCCCTGGGAGTCTCCTGGCTGTGCAGGCCGCACCTGGTGGAGAACCTTACCTTTGTATCGGTGTGCTTTGTGCCTGCTCATTTCAGGTGGCAGCCACTTCCCTGACCAGGACAGTGGCAGGTGTTACTCTGCAATCCTCACTGGGAGCATGTTTTCTCCAGGGAGAAGGCAGATGGCTGCCCAGGGCAACCCCACTCAGGACATCTGTTCTCACAAAGCATCTCTCTCAGGGGTTTTCAAGTCTGACTTGCCCCAAACCCCTGGGAAGGATGAGGCTGGCCAGAGATCCTGAGGCTGCTCCAAGGACAGCAAGCCCTGCAAACCTGGGGAGTTCACCCCATATTTGTCATTTCACTGCCTCTCGCGTCAATAAAAGCAAATCTTGGACGCCATTTGGAGTCTCCTTCTGCCTTCTCTTGTTCCTGACCTTGTTCACTGCCTTGTAAAAAGTTGTTACAACCAACCATCCTCTAGAAGGCCTGGCTGGTCTTCTGTGTCGACAACTGTAGCTGTCTATGCCTGGAGTGGTTGAAAATGGAGCGCAGAGCAGGGAGAAGGTTGCTGAAGCACTTAGTAAGCAGCTACTTCCATTTTGAATCAGAGGTACTTTGTGATGCCAAGAATAGCAAAGGACCTCAATTTTTGTTTTTGGGAGGGCTTCAGATGGAATGCATACAGGCAGAGTATCTCTTGTCTGAAATGTTTTATATTCTGTAGTTATGGAGATTTGGGGAATATTTGCATAGAATTTTGAGATTCCCACTTGGAAAATCTGAAATCCGAAATGCTTCAAAACCCATTCTAGATTTTTGAATCAGGGATGCTCAACCTGTACTGGGTTTTTTGTTTCCTCCCACCACCACCAACACCACCACAGTAGCATTTAACATAATGGTCTCCAAACTATGTTCTGTGGAATTTTTATTTTTATTTTTTTTGTACCAGGGATTGAACCCAGCACCAATTAACCACTGAGCCACATTCAGAGCCCTCCCCCACCCCTTTTTTTTAAATTTTGAGACAGGGTCTCACTAAGTTGCTAAAGCTGACTTTGAATTTATGATTCTCCTGCCTCAGCCTCCCAGGCCCCTGGCATGTGCCGTCCCGTCTGACTGTTCTGTGCAATCTTGAGCTATTAATATTTCTGCTCTTTGCAGGTATTTTTTGGTCAAACACAAATGAGAAAGCCAATACCTCTAGGCCCCAAATGAAAATTTTACAGGAGACAAAGTATCCTGAAGGCTCTGCAAAGGCCTGCAGAAAATAAACCATTTTAACTTTGTTTTTCTTGGTTTTCCTATTTATTTGACCACCAACCCCATTTCAGAATAATGTCTATGGGATGCAAGTTTTCTACAGAATCCCATGTGGGAAAAGCCAGGTTAGCTAATGTGGGGAAAGGGGTGACTGTGGGACCAGTTGGCATAGTCCCATGAGAGAAATGACTAGCGGTTATTAAGTTCTTACCCTGTTTGTACAAGGTCCCAGGCCAGATTCTGGGAAGGGCTCAGAGATGTGTAAAACTTGCCTACAATGAGCCTCCGTCAGGTGCTCAAGAGTTAGAGGCCAGGTATTTTAGAAATAGCAATAGCCATATCAACTCTTCATTAAAATGTTCTCATTCTAACATTCTAAAAAGTGAGTTGTAGTCGGGCTGGAGTTGTAGCTCAGTGGTGGAGTGCTTGCCTTGCACATGTGAGGCACTGGGTTAGATCCTCAGCATCACATAAAAATAAACAAAATAAAAATATCGTGTCTATCTATAACAACAACAAAAAATAAAAGTGAGTTATAATAGTTCTCTCTCTCTTTCTCTCCCTCTCTCTCTCTCTTTTTTTTTTTTTTTTTTGGTGCTAAGGATTGAACCCAGGGCCTCACATGTGCTAGGCAAGTGCTCTACCACTGAGCTACATCCCCAGTCTGAATTGTAGCTATTTTCTTCAGCCACACAGGAGAATAACCCTCCTGAGTTTGAACATATAGAAAATGGCTTTGGAGGCTCTGAGAAGCAAGAGAAACTGAAGTCTGCTTAGATACATGAGTTAGAATTGGTGATCAAAAACTCGTGTGTGCCATTTGCAAAATGCAAACAGAAAGAATCTGGTTTAAAGGAATTCTTATGGCTTTTTTTTTGTTTTTGTTTTTGTTCTTGAGAAGGGGTCTATGTTGCCAAGGCTGACTTCAAACTCCTGGGCTCAAGCAATTCTTCTGCTTTGTCCTCCCAAGCAGTTGAAACTATAGATATGTACCAACATGCTTAGCTGAGAGATTCTGTAGAAATTCAAATGGCAAGTTCTTTCTGGATTTGGGGTGATCTAGGGTGGTGGTCATTTCAGTTTTCTCTCTTGAAACAATTCTTATGGGCAGAATCTTCTATATTCCATTGGGTGTGGTGGCGCACACCTGTAATCCCAGTGGTTTGGGAAGCTGAGACAGGAGGATCCAAGTTCAGAGCCAGCCTCAGCAACTTAGGGAGTCCCTGAGCAACTCAGTGAGACTCTGTCTCAAAATAAAATATAAAAAAGGGTTGGGGAGGGGCTGGGGCTATAGCTCAGTGACAGAGCACTTACCTAGCACATGGGTTCAAGCCTCAGGACCACATAAAAATAAATAAAAAGGCATACTGTCCATCTACAACTACAAAAAAATTGAAAAAAAAAAGGCTGGGGATGTGGCTCAGTGGTTGAGTGCCAGGAAGGAAGGAAGGGAGGAAGAAAGGAAGGGAGGGAGGGAGGGAGGGAGGGAGGAAGGAGAGAGAGAGAGAAAAGAATATTCTGTATTCCCCTCCATTTTCTGCAGGAGTAGAGGCAGGGGCTGTGCTGGTGGCCCCAACAGCTATAAAGACACATTTCTTTCAAAGTGATTTCTTTTTTTTTTTTTTAAACACCTTTATTTTTATGTGGTGCTGAGGACCAAACCCAGGTCCTCGCACGTGCTAGACAAGCGTCCTACTGCTGAGCCACAACCCCAGCCCCTCCAAGTGATTTCTTGAAGAGGAGTTTAAAAAAAGGCACAGCTGGTGCCCCTCCCCAGGATCACTGTGGTGCTGGTAGCTTAAGGATTTGCTGCCCCAGCTGTGTGGGATCAGATCATCCTGTCATACTGGTGACACAGACAAGGAGCAGCCCTTGGCTGGAATCACATCACAGCCACCCTATCTACAGACTGCAGGCCTGGGTCAGGCCCACTGTCCCTAGAGCAGATGCTGGGGACTTGAAAGTTCTCCCACGGCCACGGTGGTCTGAGACTTGTCCCGCCAGGTAGTGCATCTAACATTCTTCCACCCTTCACATAGGCAGCTGTGTCTGCCGGTTCTACTCTGAGGCCATCGCTTACTGCCAGCTCTGGGCTCTCTCAGCACTTATGTTCTGCTTTTCCTGTCCAAGCTGGAAAGGACTTGAACATACAGACACGTGTGACATGATGGGGCCCAAGTATGGCCGGAGCTGATAATAATCACCAAACTGAATGAGAAGAGTTTTAGAGATAACTCCATCAGTGTGACTTTATCATGATCATCAAGTAACAGCAGTCAGATTTTTTTAACCCAAGACCCTATTCCTTCCTTTGAACACTTCCCTCAGGCTCAGTAGATATTTTGTCAAAGACTTTGAGTCAAACTGCCTGAGTTTAATATCACAGTTCTACTGCTTGGACAGTTTGCTTTAATTTCTGAGCCTCAGTTTCCTCATCTTTTTTTATATATTTATTTTTTACTTATAGGTGGACATATATCTTTATTTTATTTTTTTATGTGGTGCTGAGGATCGAACCCAGCGCCCCCAGCATGCCAGGTGAGCGTGTTAACGCTTGAGCCACATCCCCAGCCCTATTTTAATTTTTTTTTTATGTGGTGCTGAGGATCGAACCCCAGGCCTCGCGCATGCTAGGTGAACGCTCTACTGTGAGCCACAATCTCAGCCCCCAGTTTCCTCATCTGTAAAAGAGAACCATAATGGTATCTATTTTACCATGGTAATGAGATTAAAAGAGCAGTTGGTGCCCAGTGATTCTCAGAGGGAGGCCCACTGTAAATGTCAGCTGCTGGTTGTGATTACTGAGTATCCCAGACCTGAGACTGTCCACAATTAGCCACATTAGTGGCATAGAGTCTGAATCCAGTCTCCAGTCCTCACAGGCTGTACCACCTTGGACAGATCTTACCCAGTTTTGTCCTTTGTATCCTGGGAATGATTATGGCCCCTCCTTTGTGGAGTCTCTGGTGAAGTAAAGGAGATCACTTGTGACCATCAAGCCTAGACAGTGGCAAGCCCCTAGTGAGGGAACTCTTGTGTCACTAGTCACTACAGTTAGCTGGGGCTTGGTCAGCAAGTTCTCAGTTTGGGTAGCAATAGGGAATGGGTGTCAGGTGGCACTAGGCAGGGCCAGCTGGGTAGCAGGGAAGGTTGACCACTAGCACTAGTACAGCCTGCTTCTCTGCTATTGACCTCCAGGGTCCGTCTTTCACCATGTGTCCCGGACACGGGGGAGTGAGCACACTGCAGTCCTATATCCACTGAGTATCCCAGACCTGAGACTGGGACGCCACCAATCCCATGAGGATCTGTCTGGGGTGTTTGAGGACGGGCTCCCTCAGGGGAGACTACTTTCTGGCTTGAGGAAGATGGCACTTTTCTGTGACTGGTCCACAATTAGCCACATTAGTGGCATAGAGAGGAAAGGCAATGTTGTCAAGTAGTCCTGCTGTGGATGTCATGACTGCCAGTCATCACCCAGCACCTGATGGAGCAGAGGCTGGGTGAACACAGGCTTTCACCCACTCATCCCACAGGCAACTCCTGGTATCTACACTAGTCAGTTTACACTGTTGCTGGCACTGGAATGCACATGGTGGTGAAAAGGCCATCCCTGTCCCCACTCCCAGGAGCTTATATATATGTGAATAGTCACATAAGAAAATCAACACAAACCAGAGAGTTTGGAACAGTGATAAGTCTCTGCCCTGACAAGACAATGGGGTGCCTGATAGACAACAGGTTCTTAAGAAGGTGATAAGGGAAGGCCTCTCAAAGGAGCTGACATTTGAGCTGAGATCTGAATAACAAGGACTAGCCAGGTACATGGAGACCTAAGGAAAGAACACATCTGCCAGATGGAGTATCATCTGAAAGGAGCAAGCCTGGGAGACTGGGGAACAGGTCAGAGGCTGGGGCGCTGAGCATTAGGAGTTTCAAGGTGGTGTGGGGGATGCTGCTGAAGTAGGCAGGTCTAGTCCTGAGGCATGAGAGACGATGGGGAAGAACTAATCCTAAGAGTTATGGGGAGCCATGGGGGAGAAGGCTTGTGCAAAAGAGCAAAATGATGTGGTTTAGATTTTCAAAGGCTCCCTTTGTGTATGGAGAGCAGCCCATAAGAGAGCAGCGAGACCTTGTGCACAGTGGTGCTGGGGGATAATCCTAGCCACTTGGGAGGCTGAGGCCAGCCTTAGGGAGGCGCAGCCTCAATTTTTTTTTAAAAAAAGGAAAAAGTGCTGGCAGTATAGATCAACTGTGGAGGGCTTGCCCAGCATGCACAAGGCCCTGGTGTGCGTGCACAGGCACACACACACACAGAGGAAACAAGCAAGCCGAGCAAGGAGGCTAGTGGGCCAGGTAACGGATAGCAGTGGTTTGGCTTATGGTAACATGGTGATGAAAAGAAAACAAGGGAATGGCAGTGGAATGAACAGGCATGAGAAAAAACAAGCCCTTGATAAGAAAGTGTCTGGATCCGGGCCCTATCCACCCCGCTTCCCGATGGTCCACCCATGGTAGACATGCTGGTGGGAACTGGGGCTGCATCACCCTTTGGGGGGTGATTCCCACATCCCAGTAGTTTTCATAAACGGATACTTTCAGCTGGAAATCTCAGTTCTTAAATTCTGTTTGTAACTGCCTCTCTGAGAAAGCGCCAGAAGCCCCTACAGAATTGAACTTTCAGAAACCAAACTGTTGGAAAGTTGAAACCACCTAATCATCAGGAGCTCCTCTTTAATGGGCCCTACCGAGTGCTTTATCTGGTAAACCTATTCATCCACCAACAACCCTGCAAAGCGGATTATTGCCTCCCTTTATAGATAGGGAAACTGAGGCTCCAGGAGGTTGTCGAGTTTAAGC